GCTTCCGCTCAGTTAATGAGTTGTCAGTGTGTAGGTGTGCCTGTTTCCACCGTTGAGTCTCGCTCCCAGGCCATGGATCCTCGGTCGCGTGCGACCAATCAGTGAGTTGGTGCGGTTTGGTTGGTTACGTTTCGCATGACGAGCTCGGTGCTAACGGAACGGCTGTAACTCGTTAATCTTGGTTCCATTGTATTTGCTGAAACCTGAAGCCAGTCCTAACGTTTGACAGCAAACACTCAAAAAGACCGGCAGCAAAACTTAGACCTAACAGGACTCTCGCAGAAAGTGGTGTTTACACACACAGACACACACACGTACCTTTGTTATTTTGTTGATAGCTTCGTCCGCTGCCACCCGGATGTCCTGATCGTCGTGGCTGATCAGTTCAAACAGGGCCGCCATTATAAAGTTGAGGTATTGGACAGAATGGCTGGCCGAAATCGCCTGCATGCCTACAAAGGCGTCGGCCATTTCGGTTATCTCCTTTAGAAGTTTCGTCTTCTCGGAGCCACTCATGGGTTGATCTGACAACTCAGTAGCCGCTTGACTATCGGCATTTCCTGTATCAGAGTCAACGCCGTCGTCTATCATTCCCCACGCACCAAAAACACGGATGAGACGGTCTTCCAAGGAAGCGAAACTCATGTTTCTATGTGATCTGGTAAGCAAAAAATAAAATTAGACAAACGCAAGCACTCTGCCGCAAAATGGTTTTCATTGAACAGAAGACAAGTTAAAACACTCTTAAAGTATTTAATTACATTTTTCGCGCGATATTTTTAACGCAAACAACTTGTGTGGCCAGTATGCAGCCGCGTGATGGACGCACGAAACGGCAAATGAGAAAATAAGTTAGTAGTAAACAAAATAAAAACAGTGTGAAAATTTCGTTGAACTAAAAATGCAAGGCACTACTAAGGAACACAATAATTCAAAACTGAGGGTAAATAACAAACAAATAACGATCGCCAAATAACGGCGGACAATCGTCAGCAACGAAGCTACAGGCAGGGACTTGGATCAAAAGCGGTGCACTGCAAAGTCAGAGTTAAGGGATGTGATTTGAAGGGTCAAGGCTTTTGAAGGAGTTCGCATAAACATGCACACTTAACGATCAATTATGGTGATGGGTTCACTTGGGTTGGTGGGTTTAGAAATAATCAAGTAGAATCAAGCCCGATTTCGAGCTACTTTACCTGCTACTGCTGACGCTAAGCATGTATGACTCTTTTGCCAATGCAATGAACAGGTAATATTGAATTATGATGATGATGAGGAGGAGGAGGAGGAGGAGAAGGAGGAGGACGAGGACGAGGAGGACGAAGAAGAGATGGTGGAGGAGAAGGAAGATCTATGATCGGCTACCAGACTGCATGCAGAACGGAACATAGTTAAACAATGTAAGGATTACTTCCACATGAGGCTCAGAACGAATATAAGATAACAACGTCGGACATATTTAATGGCCACTTTTATCATTTACAGCTCTAGCTAGTAATGGTGAGTTGAAAATGCGACGAGTACCAGATATGCAACGCATATAGCTGAAAAGTTAAGTAAAATTGGTGGACTGATGGCATATTAAAACGAGTATTCATTTGTGCCTCCCACCAGCTAGTCATCATCGGGACCTGTTGGATAGGGTCATTCATTTCGAGGATTATATATGCAGTTGACAGATCAAATACTGAATGTCTGATGATTCTGACCGCACAGACACTAGCCTGTTGCTTCCTTGCGAATAGCACACGATTATTTCACTATATGTGATGGATTTTGGCGCAAATATTTATAGCAACATTTGAATCGAACCTGAAAAGCATCAATTTCTTCGGAAACTAAAAAATATATTTGACCGACCACTCGGGCGGGGGAGAATAAACAGGATGTGCTTGATGAACAGCTCCAGAGGGACATCACTCAAAGCAAGAATAGAGGGTGGTCCGTACTTTGAGTTAAGAAGATTGAGTATTGACGCCAATTATAGGCAAGAAACTGACTTTGTTTATCATTCATACAAAAGTGAGCCTTTAGAAGCTGTGAGAGACTGTACGCCCCCTACAGACCAGAGAGGACTTTCAATAAACAAAATCAGCAAAGAGCGACTACTTTCACGCGCCTAAACGTCATTTTTGAGCTTTGAGCCAATGACACTTATAAACTCGTATGACCGTTACTGTTGTGAAATAATAAGATGATCCATTAGGGAAGAAATTTTCATCTGATAGTAGTATGTGAAGTCAAACACCTAAAGTTGCCTGTTCTTTACGCTTTACTCAATGTCGAGTATAGTTAGTAGTCTGTCGCACATAATTTTGTCTTGCAATCCCAGCGGAACAGAAAAAATTGTCTCACCCCAAGCGGCAAAGAAACGCCGATCTATAAATTTTCTCCACGTCACTTACACGTGCCTCGCATTTCAGTGGGCAGAGCAGCCTTTGCAACAGTCTGACTGAAATAACCGGGTTCTGTTTTATAAGACTCGGTGGTGCTGAATGCATGAACAAACCGGGATTATCGAGGGCGGGGTGTGTGGATTTTCAGGGAAATATAGAAAGAATTCCTGGATTTGCAAACCCATCAACTGACGGAACCTGATGGACTTATTCATGCATAGTAATTTTGTGGCGTCTGTTAAACAACCGTAAAGCCAAGTACACAAAATGAACGCTGGAAGTATGTGAAACAGAGACTCTGAGTAAAGATAAGGAAATAAATTTGAAGCAAAAATTGTATAAGCATTTTTTTAAAATAATATAATTAAGAAGAAAATATGTCAAGCCTACAAAAATCGCACGCCATGTAATGTAGTGACATTAATATGTGAAAAGAATACGAGGGTGTGTCGAAAAAATTCCCCAATTTACCACCGACATGGATATTCTCCAGAAAATCTGCAATTTGACGTATTCTATATGTACATACGCACCTAAGCAGCTTCGCTGTCGTGGACGTACGTGCACGAAAAGCTAAAGTAATTTAAGATAAGTGGATGAAGAAACGAAGTCACGGCATAAGTCGCTGAGTATTTGAAGCTTATTCTTGAGGAAGTTACTAGATACAATAGACAAAGTCGAGTAAGTAGTCCGCTCGAAAATGACTTAGAATGCTATAGACTTTTCCGTAGAAGTCTACCTCTGATAACAATTAGGCAGGTATTTTCTAGGACCTATGCTTTTCCTCGTTTATTTGCCGCTGGGGCTATCACCTCCGCCCTTCAGCGTACGGAATAGTGCACAAGAATGTGGATTCCATTAAAATGTTACCAGGGAAGCGGTCTCTTTGAGGCAACAATATTATTTCTAAAGGCTAAGTCTACATGACCGCGACAGGAAACTGGATTAAAAGAACATAAACTGTCCGCTAAAATTTTGAATAAGACATATCGACAGAAATCTAGTAAAAAAAAACTCAAGTTGTTGGTCGAATCAAAAAACACTCAATAGAATGACCCGCGCTTTAGTGCCCTTCTCTGGTTGGCTTAATTTCATCGGTTAGGTGAACACAGCAGGGGCTATTTGCATAGAGTACCGGTCCTCTTGAAGATTTTCTCTTCCAAACGCAGAATCTGCACAGGCATGAAATTGGAATACCTATAAAACATAAACCTCAGAAATCGTAAGAAGTTTGCTATGTTTTAGTGTAGAACATGTGATGGTAATAAAACCATTATACGCCCTTGAAGCGCAGCCTGAGTTGCACTCTGGGATTCAATGGGAATGATTTCCTTAATTTTTACTTCGAGCTCTTCTTCGCAGGCCTCAGCGGTTCAGCATGTGTGTACTCCCTGGTGATGTCCTTCAGATAGAAGATTCTATCTGGCATGCCGAAGAACCCTTTTCCTTAGTTTGGTGGCATAGACGCTGACAGGTCCCTACACCATGTAACACCGGGTTTTATGTGTTTTTATTTAAGGGTCTGGAATGACTTCAATTCTACGGTCCGCTTCGGGCATATCAAAAGTGACACAAGTGTCTCCTTTGAGTAATATGAGAAGGTCAGCGGTGACCCGTGGTTAATAACGATTCCGCGTTAATGGGACCGGTAGCGAAATCAGTTCCAATAAAAATGGACTCGTGTGGTTTCCTAACGATGACAATGTGAGCGACTTTTATCATATAGGATTTGGGTGCCAGAAAGTAGAGTACCTCTAGATGCATTATAAGAAACGGACTGCATGTCGAACTAAACTTTTGAAAGAAATACTTATTAACCTATATGGCATAAGCGCAGAACGACTAAAGTGTCTGCATTACCAACTTTACTGTCTTCAAACGACGGATACAGTTGCTGCTAATTTTCCCTGATGACATTTGCAGACGAAGCAAAAATTGTGCCAAATTCTAGGCAATGCCGAATGGCCTATTGGCTATAACAATATATGCAATTCAGTCTAGCAAGTGTAGGCTTAGAACTGAATCTAACACGTAGCAGCTCGCTGTAATAGCAGCGCCTTGAAAGTGTACACAGTGTTGTTGTTGTTCCAGTTATTAGGCGAGGTTGTTGAAAGGAGGGATCGTCGACTACAGAAGGTTCCCTAAGTCAAGAAGTCAGTAAGACCAAATA